AAAGGGGTGAGGTGTGCAGAGACATGGTAGGAAGTATTATGAGTATTCCGCCCATGGTAGGAACTGGTACCACTGCTTCGGTTTAACTGATGCAAAACATCTCAAGTATGTTTTCAGACCCCTGTTTACCACCTCGGATTGGCCATCAGATTGTGGATGGTATGCTGAACTGTACTTTAAGGTCGTCCCGTGCAATCTGAATAGTTCCCTCCAAAAGTGACTCAAAAATACCTTCTCTGTCCGACACTATAGAATGAGGCAACCCATGCAACTTGACTACCTCTCTTGTGAATATTGCAGCAACTGCTGGGGCCGAAAAGGGGTGCTTCAAGCCGATGAAATGAGCGTACTTGCTCAGGCGGTCAACCACTACTAGTATAGAATCAAACCCTTCCGATCGAGGCAGCCCTTCTATAAAATCCATCGATACATCTTCCCAAACTTGGTTGGGAATGGGTAGCGGTTGAGCAACCCGGCCAGCATAAGAGTAGAATATTTGTGTTGCTGGCAAATTGCACATTCAGCTACATACGATTGGATATCCTTCCTCACGCCTTTCCAGAAAAAAGTTTGAGCCACCCTTCTATAAGTTTTGAGAAAACCCCCATGACCTCCTATCTTGCTGTTATGCCCTTCCTGCAAGCAATTTGCAAAAAAGGAGTGTCCTTTGAGAGCACCAACCTATCATGGTATAGCAGTAGATCACGAAGTAGTGAATAACATGGGAAAACTGTCTTTCCCTTGCGCAATGAGTCAACTATAATGCCCAACTCAGCATCCTCTTCCGCCGCTTTCTTAAGTATCCCAATTTCCAAGGCACTGGGGGTGCTTAAAGTCATTACAGTTACCGTTGTATCTATCGTGGAGAGTGCATCAGCTACTCTATTCTCTCGACCCGCCTTGTACTCAATGTCGAAGTCAAACCCCAACAGTTTGGTCAGCCATTTTTGATATTCTTGATTTACTTCCCGTTGTTCCAGTAAAAATTTCAAGCTGCGTTAGTCAGTACACACCACGAACCTTCGACCTAACAAATAGTGCTTCCATTTTTGTATTGCCAGGACAATAGCCATGAGTTCCCTCTCATAAATCGACTTCCCTCGTGTCCGTGGTGGAAGAACCTGACTGAAATATGCAATTGTTTTCCTGTCTTGCATTAGAACCGTGCCTATTCGATACCCCGAGGCATCAGTTTCCACAATGAATGGCTTTGTAAAATCAGGCAAACCCAAAACTGGCATTGTCGTCATGGCATCCTTCAGCTTCATGAAGGCAGCCTCTGCATCTTCGTTCTACCCAAAATTGTCTTTCTTAAGCAGCTGCGTTGAAGGCCAGGCAATGCTCCCATATGATTTGACGAACCGACAGTAGTACTTTGTCAGTCCAAGGAATCCTCTCAACTCCTTGAGGGACTTAGATCTGGGCCATTGTTTCATTGCTGCCACTTTCGACTTATTGGCCGAGACTCCTCTTGCCGAAATAATATGCCCCAAATATTCCAATTCTTGCTGTCCGAACAAACATTTCTTTTCGTTGGCGTATAACTGGTTGTCTACTAACACCTGTAATACCGCCCTCAAATGGTCCCTATGTTCCTCTGTGTTGCGACTGTAGACTAGTATGTCATCAAAAAACACCAAAATGAACTTTCGGAGATAGCCTTTAAAAATCTCATTCATAAGTGACTAAAAGGTTGCTGGCCCGTTTGTTAAACCGAAAGGCATGACAAGAAACTTGACAAGAAACTCATAATGTCCTCCATGAGTTTGGAAGGCGATTTTCGGAACATCTTCCGGTCGTACCCTTATTTGATGGTACCCAGACTTCAAATCAATTTTTGAAAACATCGTGGCGCCATTGAGCTCGTCTAGTAGTTCATCTATCACTAGAATTGGAAACTTGTTGGCAACTGTGACTTTGTTCAAGGCCCGATAATCAACACAAAATCTCCAACTTCCGTCCTTCACCAACAAAATGGGGCTTGAGAAGGAGCTAATGCTCTGTTGAATAAACCCTGCTGCAATCATCTCCCGAACTAATCTCTCTATCTCGTTCTTTTGGAAATGGGGATAACGATATGGCCTCACGCTGACCGGGGCCGTTCCTGGCTGAAAGTTAATGGTATGATCATGCCTCCTTGTAGGTGGCATGCAGTTCGGCATCTTAAAGACCGACTCAAATTCATCCAAAACGTCTGAAATCATTGTTGGGGGTTGTAGGCGTTGACGTTCGGTCTGGACCTCGATGTTCCCCAATTCTAACAACACCCCTTCTCCCTGTGCCATGAGTGCCTTCATCATTGTTTTCATAGATACGGACCCTCTACTCAAGCTGGGATCGCCCCTCAGTGTGATCACCATCCCCGAAATCGAGAAGGTCATAGTGAGGTTTTGCCAATTAACCTGCATATCGCCGAGTTTACGCAACCACTGCATACCCAAAATGACATCAGAGCTTTCCAATTCCAAGGGCAAGAAATCCTCTTCCACAGTTACATTCTGTAATTGCAATTTCACCATTCGACAGACCCCTTCCCCTTTCACAGTAAAGCCTGTCCCCATGACTACTCCGTACCCTATAGTACTGGACAGTGGAAGACCCAGTTGTCTGACAACTTCCACAGCAATGAAATTATGAGAAGCCTCGCAATCAATGAGAACTATAACTTCCTTCCGCCCAATTACCCCTCTCAATTTCATCGTTTCCAGTGCCGTGAGATCCACCACAGAATTAATGGAGAGCTCGACCGAGGACCCAGTAGGCGTTACATCCTCGGCGTCGCCATCTATGAACTCGCTAGCCTCAGTAGGTTGCTCGCCGACCAGTTCGCTAGATTGGCCGGTCTCCTTCCCTCCACCACGGTCTTCCTCTTCATTTTCTCGAATCACCATCACTTGGAGTTCTCGGTTCTTACATTGATGCCTAATAGTGAATCTCTCATCACATTTGTAGCATAAACCCCTTTCCTTCTTCCTTTGCAACTTTGCATCTGTAAGCCGCTTGAAAGGGATGATGGGTTTTGTACATTGATGCCCAATAGTGAATCTCTCGTCACATTTGTAGCATAAATCCCTTTCCTTCTTCCTTTGCAACTCTGCATCTGTAAGCCGCTTGAAAGGGATGATGGGTTTTGAAGGAGGAACCATTCGATTGGGAACGATACTTACAGGCACCGCACATTGGGCAACATCCATTATTTGTTCAAGACCCATTGGATTGAGTAGTTGGACCTCAACCCTGATGTTTGGAGAGAGTCCATTAATGAAATTACATTCCAGTATCTCCTACGATACATTCTGCAATGGTGAAGCCAGCCTTTCAAATTGTCGCCGGTATTCCTGGACGGTGGTTGTTTGTTGGAGAGCTAAAAATTGGGCACATAGTGACTTCTCTTGAGATGGCGGGAATCTGCGCAGCAAATACCTCTTCAATTCCTCCCAATTTTTCATGGGTTGGCGGCGCTCCGCCCACTGGTACCACGCCAGAGCATCTCCCTCTAAACATACTGCCGCAGCTTCCCATTTCTCCTCTTCTGTCATTCGGTTAACGTTGAAATAGCGCTCCACCCGAAAAATCCACCCATCGGGATCGTCCCCATCAAAAATCGGCATGTCCAGCCGCCTGACTCGCGACTCGGACCTCCACCCATTGTCGAAGCTACTACCGCCATTTCCACTTCCTCCGGTACTAATTTGATCTCTCCCCAACCCCGGTGATGGTTCTGGTGATTTTGAAGTGGCCTCTCCCTTCTCTTTCCTGTTTCTCTACTGCACCTCCCAAGTTCGCAACAATACGTTGAACTTGCCATTAATTCTGCCTTCATAGCTTCCATTCCCAACTGTAAGGAAGCGTCGTCGTCTGCTACCTATTGCTCTAGTGCTCCCAGTCAATCGTTGAGAGTCATGATTATAGGATGGATCTGTTGATCTGATGCCAATGTGATAGCCCTTCCCGTAACTAACTTTAACAAAATAGCTAAAACCCTTAACAGATTCTGTAAATTACGAAGGCCTTGCTGTCACATCTTGCGTCTGCTATAAGTGAATTTAACTTGGGGCTTATCAGATTTTTAATTCTATAAAAATTAATCTTCATGGAAAACCTATAGATGTCTCTTTGACCCCTGCTCCATGAAAGTCCAACATGTACGCTTTTTTTGCATATATTACATGTTCCAGGATTACATTGTGGTATCTCTTTATGAAAAGAGAAGGTTTTAGATGATGGGTGATGGTGACAATGTATCGAGGATATGACAGTTGCAAAAGATACATTGGCTCAGAAATTTAGTTTAATTGGTATACAAGGGGCAAATGTAGCTAACGTGAGACCACAATCAAATTAATGGATTATATGTTGAAGAAATTATTGATTGGAAAAACGTGGGGTGGTCTTCACAAGGAAAACTTGAGATTAGCCTGGAGAGAGCAAGGATTGGAGAAGCATCCTTAAAATCCATTTCTTAGTGAACAAACTAGAAATGGTGCGTTGTAGTTGCAAATAATTAATGATTTTGATGGATCAATAATTACGTCCCCGAACATGTAATAAGATTATTCTGGAGTCGATACAAGCTTAACCAAACTGCTGTACTTTCTATAGTCACATGCCAGGCAATCCTCTTGGCTTGCGTGTTGCTCCTTTTTTTTGGGTGTGTTCATAATACTCTCTGTTTCTGCAGCTACACGATGGTGTAAAAAAATCGGGAATTATGGGCTTTTGTGATCCTTGCCCTGGAGAACCCAAACAGCTGTACGTGGAGTACACGTACGGTGGCAATAAATACGAGGTAAGCCATTTGCTTATCTATCTTCCTTTTACCTCTAGTTGTATGGATATCTCACAAATGTTGATGATGGATTCCGGACAGGCCATTGTTGATGATTATGAAGAGTTTATAATGCCCCAGGAAAGGCACAAAATCTAAATGGTAATGTAGATATTGAATAGATTCTTGGCTGTGTCAGTGAGAATAAACAGGAAAAGAAATAGAAGGAATATGACAATTACATGAATGGAATACTTGCTAAAAAACACTTGTTTTTATATCCGCTTGCATTTGCCATGGATCCCAGGCAAAATTTGTTCAGGATGGATAATTTTTTGTTTGGTATTCTTATAGTCTTCTGAGCAAAACAGTGTATTATGTGTTCTCTTTTCTGAACTATTAATTTAACAAAATCTTTTTGTACTTTGATCCTTCTGCAGCCTGAACTGCTGCAGTTTAGAAACATGAAACTTGTGTTGAAGTAAATCCATTATTATAACAATGGAGCAAGTTCATCTTTAGTTTTTTTATGTTCACGTTGTGATTTACACGTGCTCGGTTCTATATTTTTCGTTACATATTCTTCATCTTGCATTTGTTTCTACTTTGCGCAGTGTTTCTGTAACCAGCATTCTATGTTTACATTTTCTGTTTAACTGCCAATGGAAATTTACGAAGTGTATGTCTCAAGAAATCTTGTCATCGAGCTTGTTTTTCTAGCAAAACTCTTTTCATGTCCTTAACTGCAATATCTACAGGTATATTATTGTCGTCGCAAGCATGTCTTGCAAGTGTATATAAACTGCCTTAACTTATGATCTGATGGAAACGAGTAATGAATAAGTGGGTAGTACTTTTGGGTTTTAAATTATTGTTGTTGCAAGAGTTTATCGATTTACCTAAAAAATTGATTTTCTTTTACGTTTTTTACTATTCGCTGGATCGACGTTTAGATTGATTTTCAAAAAATCATTTCAACGTCAGTCTCAAATTCTCGATGCCCCGTTTTAGCCATATGCAGAAGTTAATTACTGAGACTTGAGTGTGACCACTCTTTGTTCTGGTCCACGGGCCACGTGAGACCCGGTTTGATTTAATTGGTTCAGTCATTTTCTGACTGGGAAACGTTAATCAATAATAAAATGACAAAAAAACCCTGTAATCAAATTATTAACAGCTTCCAACACATTATTAACAATTTTACACTTTAATTGTATGAGAGGTGTCCAACCTTCAGTCATTATAATATTTATTCTCCGACTTAATTTTTGTCGCACTCTTATTTTCAAATTAACGTAAGTTGTTTCTGACGGTTTTGTTAAAAAATTACTTTAAAATTGTTAAAAAAGTACTTTAAAATGGAATAAAAAGAATTATTTGCCCTCGTACAAGAAAAAAAATATAGATAAATTAAAACTAAACATTGTCGGTACCGTGACTCTGATACTACCGCCTTGACTCGTTGTATAGGATGGCATTTCAATATAGATCATGTTTCATCCTCGGTCTTACTATTCACAATCGGTATCATAGAGGTCAATCACGATCCTTTTTCCAAGGACAAGGTCACACCACAAGTCTCATGCAAGAACTCTGCAGGCTTGACTTCTCTAGCTCAAGATGCCTCCTAATCGATCTACGGGTCTGTTTGAGGCATGACCTCGACCTCGACCTCAATATAAGTTCTTGATCTCATAGCTTAACATATCTTCTTAAATTTGACATTGTCCTTGACCTCATCCCTAGTGCCAAAGTACCCCTATCTCTATAGACATAACCACCAACAAGATCATATGTGAGGGGACCCCGTGCACCTTTTGTTTCTCTCTAAATTTTATTTACACTCTTTAACTTTTACCTACAACTCTCATATAGTAAGTCTCTTTTTTCTTGTGTCCCACCACATTAAGCCCTTTATAAATTGATGGGTTTCATTAAATGTATGATTAAAAATTGAATAAAAAATTGTGGGTCTAATGTAACGTGTAATTAAAAATATAGTTTGATTAATTTATCACAGAACAATTTTTGTCAAACAGAGGCTAAAAGTCCCAACCTTATTAGGGGTCATAAGCCATCAAGTCACGAGATTATATATATATATATCCTCATCTTCATAGGATTTCATAAAAAATTATTATAAATACATACAGAATATTCATTATTAAGGTATGCTTTACATTATCCGTTTATAGCTTCACGTATATTTTCTCTTAGTCAATACGCTTAACCATTGTAGGAGCTAATTGGTCAACAGCCCATGACTTTATTGTAGGCTATCGAAAGTTCTGTTAGTGATCTTATCTCAAGTCCACACATTTCAAGGTTGGGTACTTCAATACGATTTTTTGTAGCATTAGGTATTTTAACCTTCGTAAAGATTTAGTTAAAAAAAATATCTAGTTTCATGTTTGAAAAGTTTAAATTATATTTTAATCCACACATTCCATGACGCCTACAACTTACTATTCACTCATTCTGTAGGATCCACAACCAATAAATATTTTAAACAAGCACTAAATAGGGAATTGTGATTACTAGTTTTATCTTGAACCAATGTTTAACACCCAAATTCTCAATATTCAATTAAATTAACAAGTATTTGTAATTATATTTCACATTTTTCTGCTGCATCAAATGAGATATATATTCTGACTTAACTTGATGGTTGGAGTATTAAATTCAAGTAGCAAACACATGCCAAGAAAATAAAATTAATTAAAATTGAAATTGATTTCAAACTTCAAATTAAGTTCCTAAAAATCAGATTTTTAGTAGGATTTGCTAAAAGCTGAAAAAAATGTATAATTGAAAAGTTGATAAAATTTTCGAACTCCATAAAATGTATGATTAAAAATGAGTTTTGAGAAAAACAAAGTTGGAAAAACGAGGGCCGAAGGGTTGAGATATTTTTATAATCCAAAGGTGAAAATGAGGAGACATGGATAGGGTCCATAGGGCTGCAACAAGAGTGGACCAAAGGTAAGCTTGAAATAAGCATTGGCTATATCCGAACAACCAATTGAAAAGTAGGGTAGCATTCATTTGGTGAGGTGAGATAGAATTTCATTGTAAGTAGGTTGCATGAGTAAAATATGATATTTTTTTCCATTTCTTTTTTCTATTCTGTATTTTTCGCGAGTCAACATCAATTTGACATCCAAATTTTCATTATTCAGTTGAAGCAATACATTTCCATAATCTGGTGCGGAGCCATGTAGACAAAACTATTTTTCCCTTTAATTTCTTCTTTCACAGAGATCGATTAGAAGAAAAAAATTGTTACTATTTAATAACTGAACTTAAAAATGTATTTCAATGGTCACTAAATTTTGCTCAAGTGCTACTGCTTCATAATTAAACAAAACAATGTATCTTAATGGTCACTGAACTATGCACCGTATTATCCATCCATCATTCAAATCGACGTTATTTGTGAAATTTAACGGATTTTTTCATTTGAATGACCTACCTTTTGATCCCAAGAAGTGGAAAGAAAATCAAGATTGGGCTATTCTGTAGCGTACTTTCTCGATCGAATTGCCATCAAATCATAGACAAGTTCTTACACATCGTGAGAGCTAGTCACGGTGCATAGCTCAGTGAGCATTGAAATGTATTTTTAATGGGATGAGTTGCATTCATATCACGAGTGCGACTCGATAGAAAGGTGCAGAGGTGAATAGGCATGGATAGAGATGCAACGAGAGTGGACCAAAGGGTACCATTGAAATTTTCAAAATGATGCTTGATTGTTTAAAGCAAAAGCTATATATAATTGCGTTTATAGTATTATAATGATTATTCAATCAATCAATCAATTAGGAGGCAAGATAGCACTATTGGCTGGGCTGAGTTGGACCACTTGGGCACAATCAATGGGTCACAACCATCCAATTTGGTCCCCTAATATTTCCGGCTATCATTGGGCGGTGGCCTTTTTCTTAAAAAAATAAAAAAATAAATAAATCTGAAATTATGAAGTATTCCACTCAATGTTTTAAGACTTGGTAGAATACAAAGACTATATCTGCATATGAAATTATTATTAGTGTACATCTAACACTATTACTATGGACCACATAGTATATGGGAATCCAGTCGAACCACATGGTAGGGCAGCACACTCGGTCCTCGACTTTCTTCCCCATTCAAATCTATTAACGTCCTCTTAGCGAATCATGTTCCTCGTTTCTCCAAGTAATCCTTGCATTACGTTCTCAATCACATAGATGGGCAAGCACGATTCTCGACATTTATATCACATCTCTCGATGGATAAGTTTCTTCTTGTTGTACCTTGCGCACACTAGAGTGCCGATGCACACACTTCACTGGACACCAAACTCCACCATATGCCCACTAGCATTAGTTTCTCGAATTGACGTTCATTGTCGTATCACTCTGTGCATGTCGAAGCAACAACACGAGATGCCCATTAAGGTGATTTCCAATGCAATACGCCGTATACTCGCACAAAACAAACAAGCACCCGAATAGACTCATTTGCTGCAATGCCTTTTCCATTGCAACCACCATTCCCAAAGTCTTTTTACCATCGATCGACTGAATATTAACCTGGATGAAATAAAAGATCAAGGATAAATGGTTGAATTGATGTTGAACCAAAATCAATCAATCCTAAAAAAAATTTAAAATATAAAGTAACAAAAAATTAACATGAACCATTTGGTTTTTGCGTGAACCTATCAGTTCTTGTTGAGAACAAGCCGGTTTTTAATGAGAACCGGCCGGTTCTTTGGTGATTTAAACGGTGTTCAATTTAAGTAATTTTTTTTTAGAATAATGTTACTTTGCCAGAAAATATTTGACATAATAAGTATTGGCAAAATGTGATTAGTTGAAAAAATTGACTGTATTTTAAACAATTCAATGATAGGTAGCCATGTAACATTATGTCAAGTAATATGTCAACCATTATGTCTATGTAGCATGATAGTTTTTTTTAAACCTCTAATAAGACTTGTTCTCGATTTTTTCATTTCATTTGATTGGTCTTGTAACTGGTCGGTCTTGTTCGATTTTGAAAATACTGATTAAGATAGGAATTTTCGAGTTTATAATTAGAGTATCAGCATAAATAATTTTTAGTTTTGTAGGTAGAAATTTATAAGAAGATTTACTACTTGTTAAGTGGCATTGAGATTCTAAGCGAAAGTTTTAAATTGATTAAAAATGGCATAAATACAATAAAATTATTAGTACAAATCTTTAAATACTAAAAAAATGCAGTATACCAAAAAAGTCCTTCGTGTAACACTTAATTTTAAAAAATAATTATAGTGTAATCAATATATCACAAATAAGTGTACGATATACACTATTATTTTCCTTTTACTATGATCACTATTACTCTTAACTAATGCCAATATCTACTAGTGTCTACAATAATGGTGACTACTTTATCGCAATCGACATGAATGTAAGTTGTCAACATCAATCAACAAGATTTTTGTTACGTATTTACGATAGGTTAAATTCTTCGGTCCAACTTTTTATAAATATGATATTGACGTCCCCAATCTTTTAACACTATGCAAGTTGTGTATCTTCTTGATTGAAATGTCTATTTAGACGTTGAATGTCCACATCCGTACTCATGTCATGTGATTAAAATGGTGAAATTAAATAGATCTTTATTCCAATGTCAATTGTGATTTAACTTACATCAAACGTTGCTCCTGTTGATCAAGTTGACCATTTCAATCAGATATCGCGTACAAGCTGTGGCCATTTAAGATCTAAATAGATTAGGAACACAATTGCCACAAATAGAAGGTTGGGACATGGTTACCACACTTGTTAAGGCTAGAAATCTCTAAAGGAATTTATCATGTACAATATTTTTTTCTATTTTTACATATTTCATGGAGAAAATACAGTGCAGTACGATTCACTACGGTTATTAACCGTGCAAGTCGTAAATGACATTTCAACTATTTTTTGAACAAGATATGAGGATTTAATTTGCAAATAAAAATAAAAATTCAAAATTCAAATATCACAAAAACATTAAATAAATATAACAAAATAAAACATACGTAATTGTAAATTCGGTTATTGTAACTGCCGCGCGTAACCTCAACAGGCTTTGACTGCCTGTCCCAACAAACATGATGACACCAATTAGAGCCGAAAGGGACATAAAAACATGTTCAAAAATGGGCGGCGAATTATACACAAATAAATAATAAAATCGATTTGTTTTGTTTGACAAAACCTACAATGTTAATTTATAGATATGATTGGGATGGACATCCATTTTCGAGAAAACTCATCTTTATCTCAATAAATAGTAAGAGAGGACGAATTCAGTCAGTCAACTAGTTCAATTAGAAATTATATTCGATGGATCAAGAAGTTTCCTTTTTTTTTTTTTTTCTTTTTTTTTTAAGTAGAATTTTGTAATTATTTTTTGTTATTAGGTGATTGTGATTTGAGCTTAAATTGAAGATTTCTCTTTAACCATTCTAGAACAATGTTCGGTTAAAAGTTGGAAAAATTGCAGCATGGATCTCAAAATTATACGGATAAAAAAACTAGTAACGGATCTTTAAAATGAACATGTTAACTCTCCATCTTTCAATACAGTTGCATAATCAGTACCCAATAACGGAAAGCATCCATATGTCAAGTAAATCATTATGTAATTTGAATAAAAATATGTATCACTTCAAATTTGTAGGTACCAACTCAGATTGGTAAATAAAATATAGTCTCATTAATTTGTAGGTGCGAGAAATCGTGACGATTTATGAAAATTTGGATAATTTCATTAATTGAAGAATAAATATGCAATTACAATGAAAGATTGAGAACTTCTTTGTCCCATTCTAAAAGTTGGAGACCAACTTGCTACTTCAACAATAGATTGAGGACAACAATGCAAATTATTAAAATTTTGATAATTAACTAAATAAATCTTCTTATTATAATTAATTTAATTAAGTTTCCAGATATAATTAACTTTGGTGGTGGCCCATGACCATCATTGTCAATTTATCATGTTCCAATGAGTTTAAGGTCAGATTTATATTATCATTATTAGACTTCACCAAACTTCTTTACTTAATTAAATATCAATTAAAATATAAAAAGGCAAATATAAAATTCAAACCCACTTGCCATCTTGTCAATAATCTATTTATGTAAATAAATTAATCAATCATAATCCATGTGATGTGATTAAATTATCTAGAATAATAATTTAATTAATTATAGGACTACTATGTAATATAATCTAGGAATTCAGTTGTACATAATATTATTATAGGTGAAAAAAGGTATATTTTTTTAATTGTGATACAATTAGATCACTAAATATTATTATACTAAGGTGTTGTTTGATAGACGTTTATTTTTTAGGGAAAATGGAAAATGAATTCTAACTTTCACTTTTGACCTGTTTGATTGACAAAATTTACCAAAGAATTCGTTTTCCACCTTTGGCCACCACGTCAGCATTTTTAATCTTTTTCTTGAATTCAAATTCTCACAAGTATGGTGAGAATTCGTTCTCTAGGTTACTATAACGATTTTTTTTTTTTTTTTTTTTGTTGTTTTTGCAATAGAAACAAATTCTAAGAATTATTGTAAAAAATTTTATCCCTTTAATTGACAATTTTCATGTAAAACAAAATCAAATGAACACCAAAAGATAGATAATTTTTATTATTTTTATTTTTTGGTAATGGAAATAAATTTTATCTCCAATTACAGTAAATTCTATCCCTTTAATTGATAATTTTCATGTAAAACAAAGTCAAACAAATATCAAAAAATATTTTCATTTCAACATTTTTCAAGTGAAAAATTATACTAATCAAACACAATAATGTACAATTCTCAGAAAAACAATTTAGAAAATTCAATTCCCTAAAATTTATTTTCTTCCCACCCAAATTCCATCTTTACAATCAAACGGACCCTAATTTCATGTCATAGTAACTTTATTCGTCTATGGAAGAATGAAAAATCGAGCATTTAGGAGAGAAATATGTGCAAGGGTTTTAGGTAATTAGGAGAAAGAAATTTAAGCGGGGGAGAAAAAAATGGACCTTTTCATATGTCAAGGCAGGGTTAAAATCAACATTTTAATTGGTAAATTTAAAAATAAAATTCGAAAAGCTACTATTTTGCTGCCTCTCATTCCGCTGTCAACGTTACTTCCTCAATAAGCCGTTATTTTAAAATAAGTGTTTATTTGACAGGGAGGCTCTGAAAGTAATCCCAAACAAAGCCCAAGTTCATCATGCCAATTGGAAAGCAATGACCACACATTTGGTAATGTCAATTGCATGATATTAAATAATATATAAAAGAAAGATATGTTAAAATTCTATCTATATATACTGATTTAGCTCTATCCTATGCACGTAATATGCCATAATAAAGAACAAAAGCAATACAAATTATAACTTCGAACCATCCTAATGGATAGTGAGATCTACGAGACGAGAATAGATAAAGAGAATGAGACATCCGGGATGTATTCTTCCTCGCCCAAGTAACATTGAGGAAGCAAGAATCCACACGAAGAAATGTATTAGATTACGTAATAGAAATATCGAAATTTTGCCTATATAAGTAAGAAAACACTAAAACAATATACGAAAAAAAATGAGTCAATAGAAGAACGTAATGAACATAATTGAATTCTTTACAATGGCTAACGTAATCTTTGCCTTTCTTCCGTTTGGTATAACTTTTGAAAAGTCAAAATGAGCTTTTGAGACTCAAATACAACTTTTAGATCCGCTTTCCTAATTTTACAAAAGTATTTCTTATAGTTTGAAGAACTTTTGTAGAAAATTAGTCCAATATAACTTCCTCTAAAAGCACTTCTACAATATGCAGTGCTTTTAAAAATTAGTTTTCAAATAAAAATTAAGATAACTTCCTTAAAAAACTCTTCTACATGAAGTAGAAGCAAAAGCAGAAAACCAAATGAGCCCTTAATATGTTCCTAATCGTTTGAACATACAAACACTAGACAACAATCCTACAAACCTGTCACAGTTCCTAGTCGATCCAAAACATCAGTGTAGATTCATACAAAAGACCTTTCTGGGTTCTTATACCAACAGTTGAATCTTGGCGTGATGTTTATTCTGGGAATCTAGTCACCGAGATAAAATGATTCGTTGCCACAGATGATGGCTAATATTGATCTTCTACAGGAATGGTCACTTAATGATTCGAGCTAATAAATATTGTTGTTGTTGTCTTACCACTACAATTCAATGAAGGGAGTTGATCCAAATCAGGAAGAAAAGCGAAGTCCACGGAGAAAAAAAAGGGATTACAGCAAAAGTACAACCTTAAGCCTTTTCTTCTTCATTCTTCGTAGGACCCACAATTTACTGCCCACTTATTAGAACCCATAGCTTATTAGCGCTTAAAAACAATACCAAACAAGCACTTAAACCCATTGTCCCTTCTGAACGATGGTTAAATTTTTTTGCCTGCTCCTAATACTAAATTTGAAGATACCTAAAACACAGAAGTAGGACCAGAGTTCTGTTTTAACATCTCAAAAAGGCTCTGTAAGCAGGATTTATACCTCAAAACGGCTCCATTAAGTGTTCGTACAAGAATTCACTTAGATCAAATCATCAAATGCAGCAGCGCATTCTTTATGATCAGTAAGTCCGGTACCAACAACAGAAATAGCTTTATATAACACTACATGCAAATGAATAAGCATAAATGAAGAAGATCATTACAGCATGGGAAAACCAATCCTTACTAGTACACAATCAGAAGGCACAAGAGTAAGAAACACGATAATAAAATAACTACTACACTTAGAAAGCAAGACTCCATTTTGTCAGAAAACAAGTTCATGACAAGTCTAGGCTGCATAGAAATAAGTCCAAGCAAGAAAATTTACAGAAACTAACTTAACATCGAGGTCATACGATTAATTTCAAAATTTATTAACTTGATGGTCGACTAGCACAATATCCAACCTTTTTACTTGATCAACTCACTGTTTTCAGCATCTCCAAGCTGTCACAGACATGAGCTCGTGATGCTGCCAGCATAGCACAAGTGATACTTGCCGCTTCTCCACATGAAATCCTTTAACTTGGCTTCTCTTGACTACACATTCAGCTTGTGTTTCGGCAAAGTTGCTGATTGATGTATGAAAGAACCCAGCAGAAGCAAAAAGGTTTTTCCATGGTGGCATCAGGTTAGGGGCATGAAGGTGCCCCAAAACGGTGCTTTCAATCCTAGGCTGGAATAGGAACTTCTCGATTTTGTTAATGGAATCTGAAGTAATATTTGTAGCTTCGATAGAGTTCAGTAGAACCTCGTAATACTGAAGTGAGTTAAGAATGTGAGTCGAGAATGGGAGATCAGTTCGATCACATCCACGATCAAGTGTGACCAATATTTTTGGTGAAAGCTGCTTTATGAAGGAAAGATGTGATGGAAGAACAGACAGGTGACTTTCCAAGGACCAGATAGGGAAATTCACGACAATGGCCTCACTATTCGATGACCGGAAAGAGGATACCGAATTAGAATTTGGATCGAAAGAATCAATATTCACTACCTCCAGCTTAAAATTAACATGAAGATAATTAGCAAACTGTGTTAAATTTTCATGCATGAGGCTAAGCTCAACTGAATGATGGGTCGAAGGAGAAGCAAAGGCAGTAATTTTCAATGAAGGCACCCCCTGATTCCTCCTTGGAATCTCTTGCATAAAAGAAGACCATTGAGCACCAAAACCAAAACCAATATTAAAATCAATAATATGAATCTCTTCAGCATTATCAAGGGCTTCAAGAATAACCTGGTTGGTCGTGAAATTCATGAACTGGACAAGGGGTGAAACTTCGGAGAAGATCTTATAAGCACCCATCTTGAACATACCATCAAATGGTGTGGGAATCCTCGGTAGAGGGGTACCCAGGTTGGGCATTAAGAGGGCTAAGTGCAAAGCCTCCTTCAAATAAAAAGCAGTCCTTTGAAAAGGCTTCCCAGCTAGAGAAAGAACTTGATTGAGCCGCGCCAATATCCCTTGCGCGTTGGAGAAATTTCCAGCCACTATCAACTCAGCCACCATGTAGAGTTGATCATTTATAACATGCTGGTGCTGCTGCTGACAGTGGGGAGCCACCATTTGATCCTCACTGTCGCTAGCTACCTCCTGCTTCGGCACCAACATTGTTTTCTGCTGAAGCTGATGCAGAGGAACAAACTTAGGCTGTTGGCAATAATCCATTGAAGTCTGCTGCATTTCGAACGACTGTTGTTTCATCAGCAACAACTCATTGCACGGATCAAGAAATGGAACGGTCCGATTCTGAAAGCCTAAATCAAAATCTACAGAACTGGGTTTATCACAATTTGGTGGGGGCTGGAATTGATGTTCCTTCTCTCGTGCACTGACACACAATGAAGCATTCAAGTTCAAAGGATGCAGATTTGATACATTTGGATTCTGAAGTTGTTGTAAACCAACACGTGGGCTAAAAATCTGAGCCTTCTGCTCTAAACTTCCATATTGTTGATTCGTAAAGCCCATACCATTAGGCAAAGATAACAAATTTTTATCATTGTTATCATTCAAAGAAAAGCCACAACCTGGAAGGCCTAAAGCAGAAGTATTCAAGATTGAAAAAACATTACCAACTGGTGAAATGGCTGAATCAACTGGTGAAAACCCACAACCCACATTTCCCTGGGTCTCATTCGAGTTTCCTGCTTGCCAGAACTGCTTCAAGCTCAACGAAGACTCGTTGACATCGCCGGTCGAAATCCACCGGTGAAGAGTCTGGTCTTGGCCTACTACAGCTTCAGACAACAAGTTCTCCCAATCTTCAATCCCAAGATTGAAATTTTCAGAAGCCCCATTAGCCAACTCCAAAGCAGAAGCATTATGACCATGGTCCAGGTCAGCCACGAAGTCAGCTTTCCCTCCACCGTCCGTGGTGGCGGCAGATAGTGCCGCAGCTCCTTGTTGGGTGGTGGTGTTAAAAGAGGAAAAAGTGGATGTAGAAGTGGAGGGGCTTGGACTTCTTGTATCCAACACAGATATGGGTTCATGGTTTGTAAAGCTTCCATCTTTCTTGAACTTCGCCGGAGGTGAAGAAAAGCCACCGCCGGCAACTTCAACGACACTTTTGCCTTGCAAATTCTTGTTATAATGCATTCCAATCATCTACAAATCATCATATTTAAAATATAAAAAACAACCCAAAAAATTAAAATCTTAAGAAAAGAAGAAGTCGCAAAAACAAGAAATTTCAAATTACATTACTTGCCTCTTGCTTCAAAAAGGGTTTTCTGCTCCTCACTTTTTTCCAGGACAAGAAATTTTTTGAACAATTTTCTCAATGAAAAATCAAAGCAATGAATCTCTTCAGAAAACCGATTAGCCCAACAAAAATACTCTTATCTCCCACCATTCTTTTCTTGTCCTTCTCAGCTCCATTTCAAGATTTCCCCTCCATAATCTTCCCCTTTTCACCTCTCTCTCTCTCTAGACCAGGTATTCTTCTTCTTCTTCTCGGCTACAGTATTGTTCTACCCCCGCTGTGTCATGGATGCTCGTATTTTGTATCATAAAGAAGGCAATAAAAGTGGACCCGTCTGCTCTCTTTCTCTGTCTCTCTGTTTTTCTCTCTCAGTCTTGTCACTATCTTTTTCTTCGCTTTCTCTCTCCAGATTTCACTTTTATCCCTTTCACAATTTTTGGTGTTGATATCTGTGTTTTTACACTTTTTAGTTTTTATTACTGTACGATACTGCGCCCTGCCAGTCTCCACAGCCCCCTCCCCCACCCCCTCAAACGCCCAAAAACCCCAAAAAAAAATATATATATATATTATTAATAATAAAATAATAATAATAAAAGAAAAGTTAAAACATGGCTAAATATCATTTTAACCCTCGGGCTTTTTGTTGAGCAATGGATTTGATCTCATTGAGCCCTATTTGACAATTATTATTTGAGGTGGAAATTACACAGTACCATATGTTTAAAAATCATTTTTCAATAATCAGGTGTAAAGTTAAATTAATCATAAATCAGGTATTATAATTAACCCGCCACACCTCAACACTCCCAAACCCTAGATTTATTTCCCCTTTTGTTTTCATCATTCCCTTTCTAGGCCGTCTGGTCCGTCTCTCTATTCCCCGACGACATGGCACCTCTGGCATTGAGGCACGGCATCGCGCAACCGTTTCTTCGCGCAATTCCATCACAGTGCCTCTGTGTGCAAATTTGTGGGTTTGTCGGTACATAGATCATGTTGATTCCTAGGAGTATGAGCGCACTTCTTCTCTACTCAGCTTTTGTTGGCCAACGCTGTTGTGAACAGTGGCGTCGCAAAGCAATGGCAAGATCGATGCTGGTGTGGTGTGTTGAGGTGAATCTAGGTAGCGATGTGCTGTGGTTGGCGATGCCGCTGTGCGAGTTCGATTTGGTGGCACCTAAGTTTTTGGGGCGGTATGGTTTGGTGTGGTGTGGTTCTGTTTTAGGTAGCGGTGTAGTGTAGTGTGGCGATGTGGCTGCACAGTTCGATTTGGTGGTGTCGAAGTTCTTGGGCCTGATTTTTGTTGGTTGTATTTGCAGTTCTTGGCAGTGGCTGTGGTGCTGTGCAAGCGATGGTGTGATGGTCGACGATATTTGGTCGGTAATGTTATGGTGGTCGATGGTTTTAGTTGGCGATTTTCTGATCGACCAGCTGTACTCTTACTGTTTTATCCCTATCATTGCTGGCGGTTGGTGGCTTGCTTGGCTTAGTGCGGTGGTTGGTGTTGAGTTATATTAGTTAGGTTTGTCGATTTTCGGAAGAGTGGTGGTGGTTGTGTTGGCGGTGGCTGTGATAGTGTTGTGGGCGGGGATAGTGTTCGTGACCAAGTACTGTGACGGATCGGGAACAAGTGTTTAATGTCAGTGATCAACTATTTGGTCTTCTATGACCTTGAAATTCGATCATTTTGTAACTAAAAAAATAATTTGTGATTATCAAATTTGAAAATATTTGATATGTGACCTATAATTTTTTGAATTTGTGACAAATGACATAAACTGTAATCTATAATTTCTTAATCTGTGACCTCGAAATAATGTGTGACCTATAAAAGTTTTGATTTGTGACCTCGAAATAATCTGTGATCGATTAAATTGATGATATGTGATCAGTAAATAAATTTGTGACTTATAGTTATGTATATGTGACCATTAATTGTATAATTGTGACTTTTCTTCTATTTAATTAATTAGATAAAAACTTGATTTTACATTAGTGAAACTTAACACCTGATTTTTGAATCATGCATAATTAAAAACTTGATTTGTGAATTTTCCCTTATTTTGATTTTTTTTACATATTTATTTTTCATCATGCATTCACATAATAAAATATGTTGCACGAAATTTTTATTTTTTTATTTTTTATCATACATTATCCTAAAAATCAATATTCAAAATATTATTTTTTCAAATAATAATTGTTGAAATAGATAGTATTTAGCCCTTGTTTGAGCTCCATTCTTTTGATAAGAATGAATTTTTGAATAATATATTGATGAAAAATGTGTTATTAAAAAATAAGGAAAAATTTTGAATTTATGTGTAATATTATTTTATTGAATAATATATTGTTGAAATGGTGTCAAAATACTATATAAAAGTTTATTTATTTTTTAAAAATTATAACCAAATAGGGACTTAATTAAATGTTAAGCCTGACAACCATGAAAATGACTAGTTTTGAGAAAAAAATGAGTTTTGAAATAATATTTTTTTGAAAAATGTGTAATCAAAATGTGGAAAAAAAAAATTTGAGTTTACGTATAAAATATTTTATTGTAATGGTGTATGGTTGAAATTTAGTTTGAGGAAAAAAAAGAGTTTTATTTTAATGGCTGTCAAATAAGGTTAATTATTTTTTAATCATTTTTTTTTCAAGAATAAATTTCATTCTAGATACGTTAATGGTTTGGAAAGTGCTACATGTACATAATTATCTAGCTAATAGTGTCCATAATTACACGTGGCATTGGATCCAACTTTTAATTCAAATCTCACACTTGCACATCAACAATCGGATGATTGTCACATCATATTATGGACACTATTATGTGTAATAATTATGTACAAATAGAATTTTCCTAATGATTTTTAGGCCTCTTATCTTAATCGATGGGTTTCTATCGTATTGATAAGCAAAAATTGTATAAAAGAGGGGGGAGGGGCGAGGATGATTGTAATGAATTTGTTGAGAAAAAATCACTCTAATTGGAACGAGAAAATAAAAATATACATACTCGAGCTATCCGTTGTTTGATCCCTTATTATTCTCGAAATATATTTTTCTTTCCAACCATACATTCTTCAATAAAATAATATTGCAAGCAAATTCAAAACTTTTCATTTTTTTAATTACTCTCCATTAATTTACTATTTTAAAATGCATTCTTACAATAAAATAGAGCTCAAACAGGCTAAATAAAAATTAGAGCTTCTCGAATACTGAGGTGCAATGGTTATTTGAATGGTTTTGCAACCTTAAATTTTTACCCTATAAATAAAAAAATCGATCTCACATAAATGATAATGGACCATTTAATTTTAAGCTCTATCTTTTGTTAGGGTATATAACTCACTCTTCTACAATAATAAGAAAACATGTTCAAGGTTTTAGATCCTTGGCAGTTGTTTTCTTATTCTGTTTTATTTTTCCTTTTTTACCCTTTCTTTTTATTTGATTAAATTATAATTATCACAAACCTTCCACGAGGTTGAAGTCTATAACAATTTCAGATACCTCCTTAGCATAATTTTTCATTTTACCCTTGTCTCTTATGCTAAATATAAATTATATTTATTTTATATATATCGTTTTCACTAACTATTAAATTTGATATATTTGTCGAAAATAATCAATTTATTTTTTCTTACGAAGGAATAAAATTGATTTTACTAGAAAACAGAAAGTAAAAAGGTCGTAACTTTGATTTTTACTCATAAACATTATTTATTGTACTATAATATTTTAACTATTTAGGAATGACAAAATCTCTTGTCCCGCACAACCTCACATTGCCTCTTTCAGTACCCGTCTTGATTATTATTTTACATTTCAAAAGTTAAATATTAAATATGAATATTTTAATCTCCGCCTTTTCGTCCAAAATTTGAGATACAGGGAGGCGGCCTAGTCCTTCATCCAATTCACCTCGTTGTCATCCCATAACTATGATGAGTACAAAAATAAAGATCAAAGAAAGTATATTGAGAAACATTATAACGTAATTTTAAGTAAGAAATCTTATCAAGTAAGGGGGAGAGAAACAAGGATATTAAAATATTAGCCAATAAAAGCTTGATAAAAATCTAAACGCACTAGGGTCATGAGACACTGTAATAGAAATTTAAACAAGAATAATTCCGTACTTAGTCATTTTACAGAACTGTGTTGACAGCACTTATATGGTACATTTTTTTGTTTGTTTTGATGAAAATCAATCAAAAATTGATAAGTGTCAAATATGTAAAAATTCTATCAAATTCCCCTGTACCTGTAGCATCACTCTTTGCACAATATATACCACGTCCAAATAAAAAACAATTAATTTGGAAGTATAGATTTTTTTTATATTTATTTTTAACAAAATTGGTACAGGAAAACAGCTATCTTCACTATCTTTTTGTACAAATTCTATAGAAAAAAATATGTACTTATAGCATTGTTCGATAAAAAAAAGGTTGAGTACTAATTACGTTCCATAAGTTAAGGACTAACTTACCATGTAGACCATCTCTTTGGGACCCCCACTACAGTTTTCCCTTTCTTTGTGGAATAATTAGTACTAACCTACATTAATCACTTTTAGCCAGTCCCATATTGTCAAGACAACCCTACAGCATCTAAAGAAAACTTTAAAGCCCCTTCAATCAAACTCGTCTTGAACCGGCATTTGTGTTATCTTTTTGTGTACATTGTTTTCAAAACAACTTTAGACTAAATTTGTAGTAATTCAAAATCAATGATTTCACGATTTATTCGAACTCAATTTTACAGTTTAATTCTCTTTGGTATTTTAAAATATCGAGCACTTGTATAGGCAAGTAGTATCTCTATCACTTTAACATCATGTTTCCTTTTCAATGAAACATATATTGAAGCAAGAAAAATGAGGGCAGAGTATGAAGAAATATTTTAGAAAACAAGGAAGAAGAATACACAATTTGGAGTGTCTAATTACGACTTGGAATGTCCTTTACGTTCCTTGGATAGTTAAGGATAGTTAAAATAAAAATTTACGACTTTTTAAAGAAATATATAATTAAGGGCGATAAAAATGATTGAGCTTCGAAGTGATCCTAAGTCGTGGCGTGCAAAGTCTTACCTTCTCTCTTAGAGAGAGAGAGAGTGCAAGTTTCTAAGCATCATCAATTTCATTTAAAAATAAATTTACGAAAATACCTTCTTGTCGAACTATCTTGAGCATAACCCACTTCAGTGTACAAGTTGACGCCCATTTGCCTTGCAAGGCCCTTCCATCATAGGGCTTGCACTACTAAAAAAACAGAGTTTCAGGCACGGATTTTTCGTTCCTAAAGTCTCAATATCCGTTGCTAATAATTTTCACCAACGAAATATTTGCAACCACAAATCCATTG